TAATTTTTTTTTGTTACCTTTCTACAGAAATAAGTTTGATTATGATTTTGTAGAGAATTTCACGGCGCATCTTTTGGAAAAGCAATCAGCTTTAAAGATCAAAAAGAAAAAAAGTTATAGTCAAAATACGGATGGGATCAGAACTTATGACACACCCTTTATTTACAGAATGTAACCACTTCACACACAACACACGTTTATATAGGAGAGAGGAGAGAGATGAGCACAGGAAAGAACAATGGAGAGAGAGTCTAAAGAGGAAGGAGGAAAGAGGACAGAAAGATCAGTGGGAGGTTATATCAGTATCGGCATAAAATGCACTGCGAATAACGTGAACAAACAGATGTGTAAGCAAAAGAGTACTGTTATTTTGTTGAGCAACATGCAAATCTGGCACCATTCATTGCTGTATCATCACCTCCACGAACATCCGGCTCAAATCTTATTGCGAATCCGCAAATTGCTGTTGATTGTGAGCATTCAGCCCATGATCCCCAATCGCCCCATGGTGCTCCATTGGGCGCTTGAATTGTTTTTCCACTCGTACAAGTAAAACGACTATCATTAGCCGCTGTATCATCCATACCGCGTTGGTCTGATTCAATCTTGAATTGTACGCTTTGCAAATAATTATGTAGTCCAGAGCAAAACGTTGATTCACCCCATCCACCCCATAACCCGTCGTATGATCGAATTCTTCGCACCGCGCTACCATGACGATCTCCACAAATAAGCTCCAAGGTATTTAAAGCTGTATCATCACACCTGCCACAAGGAGACTCAACACGTTGACTGAAACCGATTGCCCATGTGTTCTGGGGACAAAAGGCCTAATGTTTCTCTTCACCCCATGGGCCTCCTTCTGGCATAAGTATTGCTATAGAAGTACGATCTGTAAATGTTTGACGTCGACTGCGGTTAAATACACCAGCTTTCGCTATTGAAAGTCCTTCGATTTTGCCCAAGGAAGCTTTACTTACTGTTGCTTCACTTTCTTGTTGTAAATTAGACGAAGCAAAACCTCCGTCGAAAATAATCATAACAAAGAGGAAAAGAATGAAATACATATTATTTCTTTATGATAATGCTAAAACGAAAAAATAAACGTGTTCATCGATAGTATGAATTGCTTTCAAGTAGAAGCGACTTTGAATTTCCGATAGTACGATATATCTACAGTAATGTTGGTCTACGAGTGACTCAAGCACTGTTCTGTTCTATTCTATGTAATGAGTGACGCGTAAGAAACGGTTAGAAACGCTCCCATCTTTTTAGGATACTTCTCGTCGCATTAGAGACTTCACTTTGGGCTCATTCGATAGAGAATTTCCTGCTCTACAAAACTATCGTCTTTTTTTTTCAAATAGCCTATTTTTGTTGGTGTAAAATTCTAAAGATAAGCACCTACTCAATAATCTAACTACGAGTTCCGATTTTCTATAGGCATGCATCAATTAGTATAAGCCTTTGCTCATCAGGGTCAATGCTAAAAGAAAAGTATTTGGGATCAATGAATTAGGTAATTTTGTGCTCTGTACCTGTACGACCTTTCCAATGTTTCTGCTGTTGTTGTTTATCTATGATGTGTGAATGATATATTGCTTATGTTTCGTATGGCTAGTAACAAACTATTTTATACTCGTGTAAAGAATGACATCATTAGATTCGATATGAACTTTTCTCCTCTTCTCCCAGTACCAAGCTGTCTTCTCATTAATGCTTAATACTGCTATCTATTTTTATATGGTAGAAAGTATCACCATGATATACGTCGTAGCAAAGTATTTTATCAGTCAACAAGAAAAGAAGAACTGTCCTATGAAAATAATAATCTCCGATAGAAGTAAGTAATCTGCAAGGCTTCCCTACATACTGGGGAACAGCTGGATCATACATAACTTCAACAGTGACTTATTTGTTTTTTGTTCTCTTATTATGTCGTCCTTACAGATGACCTAATCGGGAAAATTCGTCATTGTCAAAACAAGCAATACATGAGTCACGATGCTTCTTATGTTCTCACTTTTCGATGTTTCCATTATCAGAGTGAGGGATAAGAAGAATAATGAAACATTGAGAAAATACACTCATGAATTGAGGATATTCATCGGACGAAGTAATGAATCACATGTGTTAAATGGCGAGCGCTGAACAAAGAGAAAAGTTTCGACAATAACTCAGTTATTATTTTCGTATTACATGCTCAAATGATAGATAGAACAAATCATTCCTTATTAATGTACGATAGAATAGAGCACGTTGAGTCACTCGAAACAATGCTAATGAGATTTTTCAAGAATTATATTAAGAAAGACAAGCAAATGGAAATGCAGTGTGATATAATTTAACAATAATCTATGTTTTCATTATTTTGATTTTCTAGCTATTATTCGCTTTTGTTTTTTTGCTGCGTAACAAAGAATATAAGATCTCAGATGATATCTACGCAAATAGAAACTTAATAGAAAAAAACTTTCGTATCTTTTATTCTTGGGCAGGAGGTTTCACGTAATGTGTGATCTGCTCTGCTTCGCTCTTTTTAAAATCATTTATTGCATACCATGATGCTTCTCATTAAAACAATCAAGACAAAAAAATTTCTACAATCAGAACAGAAAGTGTTTATTCTCTGTGTTGTTGCATGACACGCTTCTCTTGATTGTTGTTTCCTATTTTTCTCGTAACAACCAACATAGCGTCTTTGGACATCGCAGTCAGATCCTTTGTTTCCTTCGAGCTTGTGATCAGCTAGTTTGCGCTTCAAACGATATACAATTCTATCACAAGGTGCCGATTGAATTGATGTTTGGAACGTCAATAGTTAATTGCTATTAATATATAAGGAAAACTATGAAACACGCAACATAACCATCCTACAGTTTCATGAAAGTCTCGTGCGATCTATGCTTCACGGTGTGCCATCCGAGAATTTTAAGTCTGATCCGAGACAATAATCAACAAGTCATTTGAGGCGCAAACCAGCTGATCACAAGCTCGAAGAAAACAAAGAATCTGACTGCGATGTCCAAAGACGCTATGTTGGTTGTTACGAGAAAAACAGGAAACAACAATCAAGAGAAGTGTGTCATGCAACAACACAGAGAATAAAACACTTTCTGTTCTGATGGTAGGGAATTTTTTGTCTAGATTGTTTTAACGAGTAGCATCACAGTATGCAATAAATGATTTTAAAAAGAGCGAAGACAGAGCAGATCACACATTACGTGAAACCTCCTGCCTATGAATAAAAGATAAGAAAGTTTTTTTCTATTAAGTTTCTTGTGAAAATATAGGGGGGTCCACAGGTGGACCCCATCGTCTCGAATGGGTTAGCAAAAAGATGTGGGTGTGGGTTGATTAGGAAAATACGCACACCCACACTCTAAAAGAAATAATCTCAGTGCAATTTCGATACGGTAAAAGATTCCTAAAAATAAATGATATGTGCTCGCGTTTGAAGTTTTATTGAACTGAAATATGCAGAAATCTCGTTGTTGATTTTTTTAGGCAAATGATTTTTATACCATATAATTTATTCGATTGCAATATGGTTCGAAAAATATTTGAACATATCGTTTATAGAATGAAAAGATGAATCTTTTTGAATAAAAAGCAAGTTTGAACAAATAATAAGTAAGGTATCAAAAAAGCACTTTAAGGTTCATTAATAATTAATCATTCGTCATATTCTATATAACTGTTTTCTTTATCAATCTGTTCTGAAACTTTGACAGTACTAGAAATATTTTATACATAGCTACATAAACCTATAGATATACATGCTGTTATTATTCCAGTAAAATAATAAAAAATAGAACTTCGTATTTGTTCAATACCACAACCTTGATATTACACAAATTATTCATTTATTCGATGAAAATCTTAATTTTGACGAACAAATCCTGGATACAGTTAAATCTAGAATGAATGCAGCTATTGCATTAACTACAACAGTAACATCAGCTGAAAAATGACTTGTTGCTGAAAGAAAAGTAAGTTTTAAAATCTATACTTTTTTCCTATCGCTTCATTGATTATTATAATTTGAAATAAATGAACAAAATAAAAATAATGATAATTAAATATAATTTACCGATAAAACATATTTTGGAAAGGCATAAATATATTTCTTTTTCAAAACGTTTTTCTTTCATTCTTTGAACAGGTATCATGTGATTATTGGTGTTATTTATTTCAATCAGAAGATTTTATTTTGCATGTGGATCATAATTACTTCCTTGCCTACTAGAGAGCTCAATTTTGGCAACAATGAATATGTCTTCATGATTTTGGATAAGTAGATGCATACGGTGTGGGTGTGAGCCCTCTCTGTATTCCCATCCACACCCACACCAACACCTACACATATACATGCACACACGAATTTTCTTTTCTTTTCTTTTTGATTTAAAATATATGATAGTGGGACGACAAGACGATGATACTGATAGAAGTAATGGACTATTAATCTTCCATGTCGTAAACACCGGATCATTTTTAGCGTTAAACCGCGGTATTCATCAAAACCGACGGTTTACCGCAGGAAACTGCAGCAATAGGAGCTGGTAACCGGACCGGTAAAACCGCAGTAAACTGCCGGTTTTTATCACATCGTCTTCTTCATCCATCCCACTATCATCGCCTTGCTTCCCTGTGATAACTGTTTGTCGTACTGTTTCTTTTTCCATATTGATTTTTCTCTTGATCATGGGCGACACTTTGTATAATAGAGGGAGCCACATTCTGTCGAGTTCATCGTGGTGGTTGATTGCATTGTTAATGGTCGAGTATATTGATTCTTTTATTCTTCTTTTCATTCGGTTGATTTCATTATCAATGATGAATGGCATACTTAGTTCAAATTTACATGTGTATTTTTGTTTACGATGATGTTCAACCATTTCGGATTTTGTTGTTTCATTATTCTGTTGCTTCATACGTTTTTCAATTCCAACTTTTATCTCTCCATTACAAATTGCTGCACATGTACATGTTATTTGGTATATGCTAGACTTTGAAGTGTGTTCAATTTAGTTTCTGCATTTTGATCGCAATTTCCTGGGGTAAGAAAAGAATATTTTGATATTTGATTTAGCCAATTTCCTTTTTAGTACTTCAATTCCATTAACATATGGTAGTGTAATGCTGCATTTAAATACTGATTCTGGATTGATTACTTTTTCTTTTATTGATTTAATTGTGTTATCGATGTGTTTTTTAATTATATTTGATGGATAATTCGAGCTGGTAAGTATTGTTTTTAATTTTTCCAAATCCTCATTTTGTTCTTTTTTGTTTGTCGCTGTTTCAATAATTCTTGTTGACATATTCTTCATCATACTGATTTTGATTGATTGACTATGATTTGAGTTGTAGTTTAGTAGCCTATCTGATGCCGTTTCTTTTCTGAACCACCCTATATTAATGTTTTCATCAGTTTTTGATAGAGTTGTGTCAAGAAAATTAATTTTTTCATTTTTTTTATATTCATGGGTGAATTTGATTTTGCTCTTTATTTTATGTAAATTGTTAACATAAAGTTTAACTTCGTCTTTACTCATCTTTGTTACTATTAATATATCATCGACATATCTCCAGGTTTTGCCAGTTTCATTATGGTTTTTCATATGTTCTTCCATATAATCATGTATATAAAGGTCTGCCAAAATCAGCGATAGAGCATTACCCATTGGTAAACCATATTTCTGTCGATTGAATTTCCCATTAAATTGAAAATAGTTGTTGTTGAATTAAATTTTGAGCATCTCCCTAAGGTCTATTTCGGTTAGATTCGATTCACAGAACTTTTCGGAATAACCAAGCCTATTTATTTCAATCTCTATTGCTCGTGACACTGGCGCGTTCGTGATAAGATCTTTAATGTCTAGGCTTACAAATTTGTCTTCTTTATTTAATTTGATTTTAGCTATTTCATTAATGAATGTTGATGTATTTGATATGGTGTTATTAACTGTTTCTTTTAATTGTTTGATATATGACAATGTTAATTTGGATAGTGGTGAGATGATCGTGTTCTTTGTACATGTGATAATTCTCATAGGATGAT